CGTGATATTAAAATGTTTTCAAATAACTATCATACAAAAATTTAGGTTAACATTATTCTTTTACTTGCGAGCAAGTTTATTAAATTTTGAACACAATTGCACGTTCTAGTTATTTTCACTTTATGGGAGGCATATAGCAAATAATTTTGTTTTTCAAAGCAAATACGAGGATGATATACTATGATGTCGAATAGTAGACATAACTCTTGAGGGTTCCTATAAAATTTTAAAAATACATGTATCTGAACTCAGTACAAATTTATTTCAACCACTTAGTAGTATAAAACAAGATGTGTTTGTGAATCACTGATGCCTCCATATGGCAACATAGCGAAGATTAAACTTTTCTTACATGCAAATTTAATATATTGGTGTCCAAACTAGGGTATTCTCACTGGAAATATAATTGTGAAATATGAAAGTACGCCAAGGTTAAAAGTTTTCATAAGTACGGAAATCTCCAAGGTCAAGGCAATTGGTATCCAATGAAAGGTCTTGCCACACAGAATACATATGTGAAGTATGGAACCTTAGTCCTAACCCTTCAAAATTTATGACCAAGGTTAAATTTTTTTAAAAAGTAGGTCAAACTCCAAGGTCAAAGTCAAAGGTTCAAATTTGGTGGTACCTAAAGAAAGGTCTTGTCACAAGGATGAATGCACTAACCCTTTAAAAGTTATGGTCAAGTTCTTGGTATCCAATGAAGGGTCATTTTACAAGGTTTACATTTGTGAAGTATGAAAGCCCTATCCCTTACCGTTCAAAAGTTATGGCTAAGGTTAAAGTTTTTTCATAAGTACGAAAATCTCCAAGGCCTAGGTCAAAAGGTCAAGGTTGTTGATATCCAATGAAAGGTTTTTTTCACAAAAATATATATGTGAAGTATAAATGTCCTGGTATCTATTGTTCAAAAGATATGGCCAAAGTAAATGTTTGGAATTTTTGTGTCAAAGTGGTTCAAACTCCTTTGGTGGTACCAAAAGCAAGGCCTTGTCACAAGGAATACACATGTGAAATATAAAAGTCATAGCTCCACTAAATCAAAAGTTATGGGCAAGGTTATAGTTTTTGTGGACAAACAGACAGCTAGACAGACAGACGGACGGACACGACAAAAACTATATACCCCCGAAACTTCGTTTACGGGGCATAAAAAATACCTGTTTTAATATTGCTGATGGTGCTGTACGAAGCAGGACAAAAATTTTGAAAGACGAAATTACAGCAACACAAAATTTTCTCATTTATTTTCCATAATTCGCATACGAAGTGTATATATTAGTGCCTTGTGATATGTTTTTATGCCCCCGTTAACGAAGTCTGTCTGTCTCTCTGTCTGGTTCTCTGTTTGTCAGCAAAAGCTTTAACCTTGCCCATAACTTTTGATTTAGTGGAGCTGTGATTTTCATATTTCACAAGTGTATTCATTGTAACAAGACCTTTCTTTGGGTACCATAAAATTTGACCTTTTGACTTGACCTTGGAGTTTGACCCACTTTTACACAAAAATTCCAAACTTTTACTTTGGCCATATCTTTTGAACAGTAGTAACCAGGACATTTATACTTCACATATGTATTCTTTGTGGCAAGCCCTTTCATTGGATACCAACAACCTTGGCCTGTAATTTTGACCTTGACCTTGGAGATTTTTATACTAGTGAAAAAACTTTAACCTTGGCCATAACTTTTGAACGCTAAGGGCTAGTGATCTCATACTTCACTTATATAATCCTTCTGAGAAGACCCTTCATTGGATACCAAGAACTTTGTCCCTTTGACCTTGACCTTAGAGTTTAACTTACTTTTAAAAAAAGAAAACCTTGACCATTCCTTTTAAAGGGTTAGTGCTTTCATACTATTCATATTTAATCCTTGTGACAAAACCTTTCATTTGATAGCAAGATCTTCGACCTTGACCTTGGAGTTTGACCTACTTTTTAAATTTTTTAAACTTTACCATATCTTTTGAAGGGTTAGGGCTAGGGCTTCCTTACTTCAAATATGTATTCTTTGTGTCAAGACCTTTCATTGGGTACCAATCACCTTGACCTTATGACCTTGACCTTGGAGATTTCCATAATTATGAAACAACTTTAACCTTGGCCTACTTTCATATTTCAAAATTATATTTCCATTGATAATATCTTACTTTGGGTACGAATATATTAATTTGCATTTAACAAAAGTTTAATATTCGCTATGTTGCCATATGGGGGCATCAGTGTTTCACAAACACATCTTGTTTTAAATTGATTATTTCAAATTAATTTAAAATGATGATTTTAACATTAAAGTTTGTAATTCCAACTATAAAGTTGGTTATGATATCTTGGCTTTCTAACTCTAAAGTTTATATTCCACCTTGAATCTTGGCCTTTTCACTTTGCATTACCAACATCGGACTTTAAAAACGGAATTAAAGTTGGACAAGTCAAGATTTATAAAAGTAAAAAAAAATAAGATTACAGTTGGATTTACCAAGATTTAAGTTGTAATAAGCAACTTGAAAGGTGAAAAACCAAGATTAAAACTTGGTTTTACCAATTTTAATATTTGAAAACCTACAACTTAAAAAAAATATTGTAGGTACTTAAACGTGTTCGTATGATTATTATTCAACAAGTTTTTCTCTTTCAATAAAATATCCGGCATTTAGATTTCTGATGCAATACTCTTAAGTTTTGACAAAAATGTAAAATTTTCTGTGACATGTCCCCCACAACTGCAAAAATGTGAGCAGCAAATTAAAAAAAAATTATAAGATTACCTTCGTCATCAGGAGAATGCTATCTGATATTAAAAATAAATAATCATATATTGGACGAAACGAGTAGTAAGCCAGCGATATGCCAGAGGACACAATAACATTTCAGAAAGTAGAACCTCAGTAAGACAGTGGGACATCATCGAAAAGAACTTGAAAAATGTGATTTTTGATGCGAGAAAAAGCCCGACTTTGAGGCTTAAGGACAGACGAGACGTTCCTTAATAATAGATAAATTTTTCTAAGAGTTTGTCATTGAAGTATTGCTACTTAAACATGTTTACTCACAAAAAATTGAGGTACCTTACCAGGCATTTCTGCAAGATACCAGGGGTAGTTTTTCTTATATAATCCTTTGGGGAAGAAAAATAATTTTCCAATTTCATATGTAAAAGTGTTCGGATTTTTAAAAGAGGTTTAAAAACTGGTTTAGAAATCAGAATGTTACTAAAATTTTGAATATTTTTCATACATTACGAAGATATACAAAACGGATTTTGAGGAACGTCTCGTCTGACCTTAAAACCAATCTTCATATGGATTCGACATATATACTATACTAGTTTTATAGTTTCCTGACTGGACAGAAATGATATACATGTAGTGTGAATAAGGTAAAAAGTGTATCAAACACTGAGTAAATCAATAAGATTTTAATTAATATTATGTAAATCATCATTTTATAACTTTCATTAAACAAAATTCTATCATAAACAAAAAATTACATGTAAGTATGTTTTTCGTTTCCTATTCTCGGGTCATTCACTTTAAGCTTTATAACATGTACATGTCTACATGTATTGAATGATTAAACATTAAACAAGAGGCCCAGGGGCCACATCGCTCACCTGAGCAAATCGGCTAGGAAAAATCACAAATCAGATCAGAACTGAAAGATTCACTGAAGGGGGGGGGGGGGCTTGAATTTTAATACTACTTGAGATTGCCTTCATATTACTACAGCATATGACTTTGCTGTTCTTGATAAAAAGATTTTTTTAAACATTTTCTTCCTATATATAACTTCATAATAATTTGAATTTGATTCCCCATGTTTCCCTCCCTACCCCAAAGGGCCATGATTTGAATAAATTTAAATCTTCAATACATTAGGATGCTTAAATGTCAATATGACTAAACATAGCTTTTCTGTTCTTGAATTTTTTCCTTTATTTTTCTGTGTAAAACTTTGATCCACCATTGTGGCCCCACCCTACCCTTGGTGGTTATGATTTGAACAAATTTAATTCTACACTAACAGAAAATGCTTCCATATAAATACTAGTATTACTAATAATGGCTTTGCTATTCTTGAGAAGATTTTTTAAATATATATTTTAATGTAAAACTTGGATCCCCCATTGTGGCCCACCCTATCCCTGGGGGTTATGATTTGACCAAACTAGAAACTACACTACCTGAGGATGATTCCACATAAATATCACTAATCATGGCTTTGAAATACTTGAGAAGACGATTTTAAAAGATTTTCCTATCTAGTCCTGTGTAGAACTTTGATCTGCCATTTTGCCCCCCCCCAATCCCCTGGGGTCATGATTTGAACAATCTTGAATCTACACTACCTGAGGATGATTTCACATGAGTTTCATCTTTCCTGGCCCAGTGGTTCTTGAGAAGAAGATTTTTAAACATTTTCCCTATATATTCCTATGTAAAACTTTGATCGGCCATTGTGGCCCCACCCTACCCCCGGGGGTCATGATTTGAACAAACTTGAATCTACACTACATGAGGATGCTTTCATATGAGTTTCATCTTTCCTGGCCCAGTGGTTCCTGAGAAGAAGATTTTTAAAGATTTTCCCTATATACTCCTATGTAAAACTTTGATCGGCCATTGTGGCCCCACCCTACCCCCGGGGGTCATGATTTGGACAAATTTTAATGTACACTACCTGAGGATGATTCCACATGAGTTTCATCTTTCCTAGCCCAGTGGTTCTTGAGAAGAAGATTTTTGAAAAATGCCATCAATTTTTCATTAATTCATAATTATCTCCCCTTGGAAAAGGGCTTGGCCCTTCATTTGAACAAACTTGAATCCCCTTTACCTAGGGATACTTTGTGGCAAGTTTGGTTGAAATTGGCCCAGTGGTTCTTGAGAAGAAGATGGAAATGTGAAAAGTTTACGCCGACGACAACGACGACGACAGATGACGGAAAAATTTTGATCAGAAAAGCTCACTTGAGCCTTCGGCTCAGGTGAGCTAAAAATTCATTGTATTAACTTCATAGTTTGATCCTTTATACGACTGTTCATTAAAATGTTCTCTCCAACAGAAGATCAAACAAGACGCTGATGAAATGATCAGCATCTGGTCCTGCTAGGAAGTTTTGAAAACCTTTCACTCTCTCAGCTACACAAGGTGTGGAGAATGTCGACTTCACACTTGTCACGGCAAGTTCATGGAGGTCATAGGTCAAGGCAAAGTGAAAAACATGGCAAGCATTTTCTGAAGAGATATTGTGTTCTAGCAAAATTAACAGAAAGTTGACTAGATTTGTTAACATGTATCGATGACCTAATACAACAGTATCCAGAATATCACACAGTAATTTGTCAGATTTATCACAGTTTGTTATGCTTCCCAGAATTCCACATGACATATCACAACCATGTAGATAATGTAGTATGTAGTTCACAGCAAATGGAGTGGTGTTAGACAGAACAACTTCCTGTTCTCTGGATTCAGAATAATGACCCTCCAACATGGCTTGGAAAAGGTCGGAACTTTTGATTAGTATTTCCCTGTTCCCTGACAGAACAGAGCTTTGAACACGGAATGAAACATCTTTGCACTGAACACTTTCATACCTGCATCCCGATCCCTCAGTCAGACCGGTGCTTTGTATGACATTGAAGGCAAGTTTGACTCCATTATTACTTGAGTCTGAGTGAGATATAAACAGGATATGTCCTACAAAACACAGGGCCTCAATCACTGCTCTCTTAGGAGGTAGACTTGTGTCACTAGTTATGTGTTTGAAGATGGCTTCCATGAAGTTCTGTTTGATGAAGTAGTATTTGGTCATTCCAGTATTCCTGAAAATAATCAAGGTACTGGTAGGCATTAAGGCATATATAACAAACTGCCAATTCATTGTCAAGAATATGTACATATTGTAGGACTCCAAAGTTGATGAAACTCCAATGTCCAATGGACTGCACAAAACTCTAATGGTTTGACATGTCAGTCAGATGGCAGATGTGCAGTCATAAAAGTCTGGGGTTTTTTTATACAGAAAAGCACAATTGTTAATAGTTCAGAAGAGTCTTACATTGGTGCCTTTCCAAAGACCAATGGTTTTAAATAGGACAAATGAATCAATATGCAATCACATATACATTAGCCCTAAATTCTGGACTGGGTGAGAGACCAACTCTAACTAATCACACAGATTAAACTCTGGTATGGCTGAGAAATCTCTCAAAAGTTTGCTAAACTAACCCTAACTCTATTCAGTCTGTTATTGTGTGAGATTTAACCTATCTTGGGTTATTGCAAGAAAAACCCTTATCAGTCAATGTGCAAGAACTAGCCCTCACCTGTAGTGTGGGTGCAAAACTAACTCAGATCTATCAAATAGTGTTAATATAACAACCATTATTTGTTGGATTTTGAAAGCCAAAGAATGAAGTTGTGACTAACACTGAATGATTGCGATATCTTTAACATATCGTTTGTATCCAGCATCATTAGATGTTATGTCAAGCCATCAGACTTTGGTAAGAACATCTGACTTTGGAGTTTTGCTCATAAATACTGTCTAAAAAAATTTCATAAGATTTTATAAGTCGATTGTTCCACAGACACCCGAAATAAATCTTAACTAGTTATGATGACGTATGCACAGACCTCAAACTAGACATGTTGTTTTTTGGAAAGTTTATGGTTGACTTACCACAGAGCAAAGAGAAGGGAGAAGATGGCAAAGTCTTTATCCTGGGGATCTGTCCTGTGGAGCCAGTGGGCCACCTCACCTCGCCCGTATGGGCCGTCCATCTGAGTGGAGACATCCTGGAGCAGAATAAGTCCTGCCCTGAATGGGAAAGATAGGCTTTCCTCCTCTGAAGATTTATCCTCAGTAGAAGCTGACTTCTTTGACTCTTTGTCAGAATTTTTTAAGTTTTCTGGACTCTTACTTGTAGATGCTAATGACCATGGATCTTCAAGGTCAAGGAAAGATAACTGTGAAGATGTGGAATCTATACTACTAGACCGGCTTCTAATCTTACTCCATTCCTGGGTTTTTAGACATTCATGTTTTGACTTTAAGAACGATTTCAGGATTTTGTCTCTGTAAGATTTTCCATAATGCCTTAAAAGTTTGTGATATATAAGTAAAGGCATGTGAATTTGTAACAAGGAATTCAAACAGAGTGGATTTCCAATAATTCGACACAGGGTCCTAGCCATTCTTTTCTCTGGTTTGTCAACTAATGCTAAGTAATCCAGACAGCAGCAGATTGTCTCTAGATTAACTAAGTGTTTACTTGGATTGTACATCTGTGAAATCCTCGACAAAATGATCATAATGTGCTGCTCTGTACTGGAGGCCTCTTGTCTTCTTCTCTTTGCTGTAACCGGACTTGTCACACCAGTTTTTGTCCTTTTTGTTGTTGGCTCAACTTCTTCATCTTCTGACATGTCCGCAGCTTCCCGCTTATTTCTGAATAAACTGATTCTGGGAATGTTCACTTGCTCACTTGTTCCACTTTCTTTTAGCTTCCCTTCTTTACATTTCTCAGTAGTGTCAGTGTTTTCTTCATCCTCAGATTCTGAGTATACATCTGGTCCTAAAAAAGACTCTTCTTCTTCTTTCTCCGGAGAATATCCCCCTGGACTAGAGGAGTCAGTTTTGTAAGATATACTACAAACAAAGGGGTAATTTGGATCACTATTTACTGATGAGGAGCCCCCACAACTAGGGCTAGATGGGGGACTGTAGTCAGAAGCAGGGGACAGACTCGGTGAGTAAAATGACACGGTACTGAGGGGACTCAATGAAGCCGGGGAGGATGAGGGGGTCTCTGTATACTCAAAGGTTTCCTTACACCTGGCCCCTGACTGATATTCCTCCAGGTTCCAGTCGGATCTGGGTTCATATGTAGGACTGTCAATGCTGAAAACGTTTTTGTTTGAACCTGTGTCTTTTTCATGACTGTCAGATTCCTGACTCTGGGCCAAATGTACATAGAATCTTTCAAACATGCCAGGTTCAAAAGTTGTGTTAGGAGAGGTAGATTCCTCCTCCATGAAATAATCATACAAACAAACTGTTGTGGACTCAAATTCTGCCACTCTCTGTAGGTGAAGGATGAGAATAGAAACTAGATCATTTTCCAACAGCACGTTGAGACCAGCCTCATCAAAAACAAAACACTGCAGGGCACTGATGATTCTGTCGTGAATTTTATGGTAATCTTTGTTCTTTAGTGTTTCACATAAGATTTTAAGGCCACCTAGATTCCTCACCTTCACTCTATTGACTGACTCCTTACAGCACAAACACACTATATTTAAGACAGTCAACTGTACAGACAGATCAGTGACTTGATGGAACATTTCAATGAATGATTGTAAACCCCCTGTTGATCCGAATTCCGGCCTGATGTTGGAGATTTGATTGAGTTTGCAGAGCAGTGAAAATGTTGAATTGTCACCCTTGTCATCAAGCCTGGACACAATGACCTTGAAAGCCCCGGATCTGATTAGTTGTGTCGCAAATTCACAGGAGGGTCTGAAAGGGAAAACAATATCAAAAACTTTTGTATTTAAAATGTGTGACAAACAAGACTGACAATTATAAATATTCATTTTTACGGTTAAGGATCAAATTATAAGTAAATATGTCAAAAAATCTTTCATCTGTTAGGTTTGTATTCAGAAATCCATTCCTTAAATCTCTATTCACGTGCTTTTCCAAATGAGCTATCAGGCTATTGGCAACCAAACCTGTCTGACCATCACAAAACAAAACAGACTTGTATCCTATTTCACATATCTAATAAAATGCCTCTATTTGACACTATATCAGCAGCCATCAGCACCATGTACATTTTTCTCTGCATAATATTAGTCCTCATTCATATTTGATAACTGTGCAGTATACTGTGAAATCATAAATTTTCTTGAGGGTTTAATTTTTGTTGTTTTTGAAGTATGAATAGACCCATAAATTCATGTCTATCATGAAATGTAAAAGTGTAGATCAGTTAATTTTCGCAACACCTTATTTTCGCAAGATAGTCATTGACTCTTTATGTGCAAGACAAAATTTTCACGAATTGTGGTCATTTCTCTATATATTCATACAGAATTCTATTATACGCGAGAATGAAATTTTCGCCGTCTCACGTAATTGCGCTAAAATAAAGTTCTTGTGAATAAAAAGTGATTTACAGTAGGTTAATACATAAATACTCAATAATTTCAATTCACTATCAAATTCAAATTCCAACAAACCATGAGTATTCCTCAAACCACAAAAATCTGACCCCAAGAAAATATGTGATTTTACAGAAGTCCTCTGTCAACATTGGTAATTAAACTACAGTCACCTATCATCAATCAGTACTGGTAACCCAATAATTAAGCTCACAGTACTGTATCATCAATCAGTATTAGTAACCCACCTATTAAGTGCATATTCCTTTATCATCTATCAGTATTAGTAAACTCACCTATTAAGTGCATAGTCCTCTATCATCTATCAGTATTAGTAACCCACCTATTAGGGGTGGGTATCGCTAAAAATTTCGTATTGCGATATATCACGATAATATCATGATATTTTTACAAGCAGTTTTTACAATGATTTTTAATGAATAGCCATTATTTTTCTTAAAAATATGCTAGACAAACAAAATTTCACATTTTTGAAATTTTTATGTAAATAAAACTCATACTCGATAGAACCATTTTTACTTTCAAAAGCGTGTTTTTACATAATTAGCTTTTTTAAAATATAAATGAGATAGCCAAATGCCATTTTATCGAATAATTATAAAATTACATTGTCTCATCCTGCAAAGAGGTGGAACTAAAATTTCACATTTTTGAAATTTTTAACCAATGTAAATAAAATGTAGCTAATCCAAACTAAGCTTGAAATGGTTCTAAGATGTCATTCTTTTCACCTTTTACAGCATTTTTTATACTTTCTTTAATTGTAATTTGAAAGATTGAACAAATAAATGAATAATTTCTGAACTTTATAAAATGTACCTAAAGACCGGTATTTAGGTCTCGGTATCACGATACGTATCACTCAACAAAAAAAAGGGATATACCAGTATACCGATAAAACCGCACATCCCTACCACCTATTATTGTCAAATCCAATAGTGTCAACACTCAAGGCAATGCTATTTCGGCCACAGTGTAATACTTTCGAACGAGATTTGCGATAAGTGCATAGTCCTTTATCATCTATCAGTATTAGTCACCAACATATTAAGTGCACAGTCCTCTATCTTCTACCAGTACATGTATTAGTAACCCACCTATTAAGTGCATAGTTCTTTATCATCTATCAGTATTAGTAACCCACCTATTAAGTGCATAGTCCTCTATCACCTCACACACCTCCTTCCTAACAGAAGCATCAGCACATTCAATCAGTTTACACACTTGATACACTGCATTGTGTGACAAAATTCTATCTTTCTGGTGTTGTGTTTTCCCCAGTAATCTGTAAAATGTACAGCCATAAAAAAGTTATACATTATACCTATACATTTTTAAAGATATATTTTCATAATTATAACATTTTTTTTTATCCAAAAAGCTGTATTAGACAAAGTTGACGGAAGCAGTTCATTGGATCAAAACAAAACACAATATATTGAGTTTGATCTGGTGACCTGAATCTGTCAATGAGACATGATACAGCTCTTTAGATAAAGTTACTGTTATAATGATAAATTTATTTTATATCCCCTATTATATTCTGAATATGATAAAAGAGAACTTTTAGGATCATTTAATTATACAATTTTTATCTATTTAACAAAACATTTTTTTACTTTTGATAAGCAAGAAAAAATGTCACGTTTACTGTGTACTTTGTCGTCAGTTTCAGATAGGGGTGATATGGATTTATAAAACTACAGTGTGGTGATCCAGAGAGTCAGATTACACCATAACTTAATTGCAATCAACAGGAAAATATACACAGATGCGTATGTAAGGAAACAGATGAACTTGGTTTTTCAACAGGAAAATATACACAGATGCGTATGTATGATCTTGGTTTTTCTCCCCTACCTGATGGCCCTGCAGTATGTTTGTTGGTGGTGAACATTCTCAGTAGTTTCCATTCTGGTAACAAGTGTCTCAATGAAGTCTGTCCTATGAATGTTCTCACAAAGACCAGGATGCTTAGCCAGATTGGCCAAAGTTCTACAACTCCTGTTCTGTATACTTTCATGTTCACATTCACAAAAGAAAAGCACTGCCAAAACATTCAATGAAACAATTATATACATCATATATACATGTATGTAGAAAAAGATATTTAAATTTACAGTACTCTATGCAGAATAAGTAATAATCTGAGGTCTAATAGCATAGTAATTTCATAATCTATTTCATACCAAGGGATTCCAGTCCATACATATGCTTGTAAACCTGAAAATATAAAATAGAATGGATAAATTATAAAGCATCAGACCTGGTTTAGCACAACCTCTTGATTGAGCTATTTTGCTTAAATTTTCTACATTTCTGTAAATGTTAATTTGATCACTTCAATTTTATATCTTGAGTAATATAGCTTTTAAAGTAAAACTTGTTTGGTACGAACATGGATATCATATAATCTCTATCAATGGCTCCTGCCCCTATAAGCGCCCTTGAGTCTTTTTCAATTGTCAGGAAATAAGGGCCCCCTGTACAGTGATTAAAAACATCTAGAATCATATCTAAGTCCATCATAATTTGAAAAAATTGAAAATGAAACTTGGTTATTAGGTAACTTGTATGTAAAGCTTCTGTGCAAGTGGCAGATTTTTAGAGTGACCTAATCATTATGCATTTCTGAAAGTGAAAGTTACCTATAAATTTTGTTCTCCTTGTTTATTCTCTAATTTCTTGGTGGAAAATGAATCATTTAGTGTAATTTGGGTAGATCATCTTAACTTGAAGGAAAGTCAGACAATCTTTTGGTGGGTCTTTGAGTTTATTTTTTTCTTCAAAGATATCTTGCAATTAAAATATGATATTAAATATTAATATGAGAATACGTAAATAAGCGCCCACTTCTCACAATTTTCAAAGCGCCCAGGGCAGTTGATCTAGATTATACTGTATTGTGAATTCACTGATATAGCAAAGTTATGTTGGATCCCCAGCTATATAAATTTAATGAATTCCACATATGGATATAACACATTATGAGACTTTGATTATCATAACCGAGTTCTACTGTAATGATAGATAGTTTTATTATTTTATTTATATACCTTTTCCCCTTAATAATTGTGGAGTAATTGTTTACAACTTTGTATTGTTCTAAATAAAATATTATTTATCAAATCAAATACATCTGTCCTTCATAGCCTTTCACACACGAAAGTATGGTAAAATTTGTATTCAAGGACAATAACAATGTTTGATAATGTAATGGCCATTTCCCTAAGAAATAGAAAAAAATAAATAAAAAATAAATCAAATATTACTTCATCACGACATTCCTGCAAATTACATAAGTCTCCAAGAATGCTAAATAAGAGATCTATCGTTTTCCGACGACGGTCTGACAAGTTTTTCACTTCTACCGATTCCAAGAGTTGAAAGAAAACTGGTACTATTCTGCACTGTATCAGCAACAAATGGTTATGCCTGTCGTTTGCACGTTTCTTTAAAACAATCAGAGAGTTGTAAGCCGTCTGTTCTTCTGTTGACAAACAGGTTTTCATTAGCTTTTCAAATTCCTTTTTCGTTGCCATCGTCCTTTTTTTTTGCCATCCATCACTTTCCAATCTTCTTCCGGTGTAACATGCAATAGACAGCTCGTACCATAATAAATTCGAGTTTATCTTTTTTTTTCCGTAATAAGTTTGATATTTGATAAACGCAAGGTTTTTAAAACAAATTATTCAATTTAAGTTATCTATAAACTGATGTCTCAATGGTTACAAAAATTGTGAAATTGTTTTAAAAGTTTTAATGTTTTCCTATTAAAAGCTACACAAGTTCATGGACCTCTCAGATTCAAACAGTAACACTGAGTAACTTCTATATTTTGGATCTTGATTGGGTTTAGATGAACACTGTTTCAATGCTTGACTTAAAAGATATTATATTAGAATTCGTTTTCAACGCCCAATCCTCCTCCGTTTTGGTCTGATTTTAATAAAACAAATATACAAATTGTACTTTAACTTGAAGGTACTTGCCCAGACACAGATTTGAAGTTAATATTTTCTCTATAATATTACGACTTATATATTTTAATAGCATTTCACACAAAAACTAATTAAAAATCTTATTTCATTTAAAAGTTATTAAAATTTTAATTTTTTTGGCGGGTTTGATTGACACATCTTGCACTTTCGCAAATTTTAACTTTATTCTTAATCCTTAGGAAAAGTGGCAATCTTGTTATGTATTAATGAAAAATATTAATACTATAATCCAGAAAATTCAAAGTAGACATGTTCGAAAGCAAAACAAACACACAATATATTCTCAGTCCGTGCAGTTGTGGTGAGCAGACTTTGGCGATTGAACACACCCGGTGAATCGTAAACATCAAACAATAACAGATTTTGTGCCCTGTTTACAAAAACTGTGTACATAACACGAGTGCGCTCGATTTGCTAAACTCTGTACACAACGGAGTGATGATACTTGTGAAGGAGTTTTGCTTTTTAACATTTCTACTCTGAACAGAATTATTTTTTTGGATTTAAGTTTTAATATTTCTCATTAATACACAACAAAATTGCCACTTTTCCTAAGGATTAAGAAAAAAGTTAAATTTTGTGAAGGTGCAAGGATATGTCAATCAAACCCGCCAAAAAATTTAAGTTTAAATAACTTTTAAATGAAATAACATTTTTAATTAATGTTTGTGTGAAATGCTATTAAAATATATAATTCATGATATTATACAGAAAATATTAACTTCAAATCTGTGTCCAAGTACCTTTAATATCTATGATAATCATGTCTTATTTACTAGTGTTGACAATGCTGCGAAAATTCAAGTCTAAAGTGCCGCTCCCTCTATCTTATTGTAATAGTAAACAGTTAAGGTTACAGATAAGACACAGTCTTGTCAGAGACTTTATAGACTGAAAATTCTGACATGTCAAAAATAAATAAAGACTGCTGACTTTGTTAATAAATTAAAGGTACTTGGACACAGATTTGGGGGTAATTTTTTCTGTATAATATTACGACTTATATATTTTAATAGCATTTCACACAAAAATTAATTAAAAATCTTATTTATTTTAAAAGTTATTAAAACTTTAAATTTTTGGGCGGGTTTGATTGACACATCCTTGCACTTTCACAAATTTTAAGTTAACTCTTAATCCTTAGGGAAAGTGGCAATCTTGTTGTGTATAAATGAAAAATATTAATACTATAATCCAGAAAATTCAAAGTAGACATGTTCGAAAGCAAAACAAACACACAATATATTCTCAGTCCGTGCAGTTGTGGTGAGCAGACTTTGACGGCTGAACGCACCCGGTGAATCGTAAACAATCAACAATAACAGCTCCTGCCCTGTTTACAAAAACTGTGTACATAACACGAGTGTGATCGATTTGCACACAAGATTTCGTTCGGAATGACAATACTTGTGAAGGAATTTTGCTTTGTAACATTTCTACTCTGAAAAAAATTATTTTTCTGGATTAAAGTTTTAATATTTCTCATTAATAAACAAAAAGACTGCCACTTTACCGAAGGATTAAGAATAAAGTTAAAATTTGTGAAGGTGCAAGGATGTGTCAATCAAACCCGCCAAAAAAATTGAAGTTTTAATAACTTTGAAATGAAAAAAAGATTTTTAATTAATTTTTGTGTGAAATGCTTTTAAAATATATAATTCATGATATTATACAGAAAAAATTAACTTCAAATCTGTGTCCAAGTACCTTTAAGAAGATGCTGGAGTATCTTTGTAGCGTAAGATTCTTTTAGCGATCGGTACTCTAGAGTTGGTATCAAAGCTGAAGTTTCTCATTGTCAACATGCATGCAATCTTTGGGGACCAATCAGTTTATCGTCTTGAGGTCAGGTCTTCCAACAATCTTAGAATTGTAATAGGCTCTAATTAATTGTCCGTTATAAACTGACATTTTTTTTCTCCATTATATTACCGTCTAAAGACGTTAATAACAAAGTCACAACTAAAACTATACAACTAGCGGGGGCTATTAAAAATAATATTTACGTCTCACAACTATACCTCTGAACGTAAAAGTAATTCCTAGAAATATAAATTTTTAAACAAGAACAGGTAACTAACAAATACGTTATGATACAAGATTTTCTATCAATAAACCTCTTCTGTCCTTGACCCTTGACCTTTAAATCTCATCAAATCTAAAACCATAACTAGAGAATGGCGATATACAATTTTATTGCAAAACTTCAAGGCCTTTTTTTTTTATATAAATACTGCAGTATGGGGCAAGTGTTACGCTGACAGAATGTATGATGTTCTGACCTTGATATTTTGATTTCAAAGTCATAGAGGGTCTATAGCTATTAAAGCTACGGAAAGCTTCATTTCAAAAACTCAAGGGCCTATATCAAACGAAAACGTTACACAAACAGAATGTATGAATCTAATAGCCACTTTTAACCCCAGAATCTTTGTTTATCTTTAGGCCATAGGAAATCGTAGCTTGAAATTTCATTGTAAAAGGCTTCCTTAGAAATCGTCTGAAAAATAAAACGAGGATCTATAAGGGGGAGGCATGCCGTGAAAAACTTTCAACTCTTAGGTATAAAGATTCTACGGTATAGCTCAAAATGCTGACTGATGTTTTTCATAAGACTTATTGCTAGTCCATTATTTATACACTGTACACTGAATTGACGGCGAATTTTCCCGTTATTTCCCGATCATGGCAAGGAGCATATGGCGGGTTTGATCGGTCGGCAGGGGGTGCTCAACCCTTCATGGTACCTGATCCCACCTCTGATGTTTTTGAGGTCCTTGTTTGCTCCTCCTATTTTGTAATGTTTTATGGACTTTTGATCTTGAATAATGTTCGTTCTCTCAATATGTTTCATCTCAGTCAATTTTTTAATCGTAATGTTTAAATTAAAGTGAATAAGGTACGTATTGAACCTCAGCTGCAGACAGGAAACGATTGAGTAAAAATAATGTTAATGGTTTCATTATGTCTATCATGTCATTGTGCTGCAGATATGTTCGTAATAGGTAGCAGCTGACAATAGCAATGAAAATGAAATAAATTAATCCGATGAACTATTTTATCTGTTCCCTAGCACATGTTGACAACATCACCAGATTTATAGAGCTCCCAATGACCGAGAAACACTCTTGAAAGCAATCGTTTAAAGCAAATTAATAAACTGTAATAAAAGAAAACAGAGAGACGATCCTGGCGTTGATTGCCATCACGCACATGTCATCAGTAGTAGTGGACCATAAATCAGAAAACGTGACATATAGCGATGTCTTAGACGGTCCTCCAAGTACCACGAGTCTGGCAGCCTGGAACTTCAGATCGATAGATCGGCAACTAACAGTGCTCTCACGGCGTGATGGTCGCCAAGGCTGAGGAACCTCTCCATTCGATACAGGTCCACGGATATTTCTTCACCAGGTTTTAGCGGGTGTTTCAATAAGGATTTTTACAGGACTTTGCGTGCTTCCGACGGTATTCACCAAACGAGTGCGATACGGTGTATTGTCAGTGTGGCCAAACTTCTGTTTATTACAGTGTGTCATTGGATGAACGAATGAAAAGGACAGGTAAGCCGACATAACTATCTTATAATTGATTAATAAATCTCAGTGTCCCAAAGGACATCAAAGCACAAGAACACATGTAAAAAATCGAGCATGTACCTTTATATTCAAAATGTGGACCCTATAAGATTAATTCGTTAAAGTATCATTTACAATGTATGGTATTTCAAAAAAAATATTGAGCGCATGTAGTCCTTTCCTTGTAAAAAAAAAAATATGAAGCTGATCTATTTGCTCATGTTACTCATAAGTAAACCTTATTACTCTCAGCATTATTATTCTCAGCATATTTATAGACAGTCTTTCTATATTCATTTGCAGAATCTACCTATAAACCGCGAAAACTTCCATTAATTTAAGAAATAATTTTCTCCTAGAAATCGGCTTAAACCAATTTATATAACTTTTATAATTTCAGAAACTGAAATTTGCTGTTTTTAAAAAAAAAATTCTTATGTGTATCTGTATATTCGTGACATGAAAAACAAAATGCATGCCAATGCCGATTGCATAATGCATGTACAATATTACATATAAATATAAACAAAGTCCAGCCTCTGCGTCTATCAGTTTGGTACAACTTGCTGTTTAAGACATTAAATGTACAAAACTAAAGTTTAAACTTAGCTATAGTTTTACCTTAATATGAACGCAACAAATATATAAGATGATGGGGCTCCTCTCTCTCTTAGGGATGTAAAACCTCCTGCAAGATCCACCACTACATTTCTTCTCTTTCAATCTCTTTGTTTTGGTGTTGAATACGTTTTGGCACATTGTAAAACGCGCTCTATATTAGATTATATTCTTTGCTTTTAAGAAATCAATATTTCATCATATTTTTGACAAACATCCATAGGAAATGTTTAAATATACACTTCATTTCAAATTAATACAGCAGATCCTGTTTTAAAAAGAGAAAGTAAAATTGTTGATTTACAACGCGGTCTTTGTTTTAGACTATGCCTAACACTTCAACAAATTTTCTCCGCACTTCAGTTATATCAGAGTTTGTCAATCAGGATTGGATGAAAATATTTACCCCATTATTTATAAATTGAATTTTACGATTATTGTGCTTTTTCCTAAACATTTATAAATCTTTGTTTAATATTAAATCGCCGGATATGATGTTGAATATTTTTATTTAAATTGTTAACTCCGCAGGCAGTTAAAACTTTTTTATAACATAGTTCAAATGATTTTGGCTAAGCATATTTCATCAGTTATAATTTCAATAATTTGATCCGACCATCGCCATTTATATTCTGAAATATCCTTAACTGCATAAATACATATAAATCAAAGTCCAATTGCCTATATTGCTCTAAGACAGTCAGGAGCAGTTATTGATCCATAGTCCCTAATATGAGTCTTGTCAAGAGATGAGCATCTCCCTGGGCCGTAAAACTACAAGAGAAGATCATCCGAATCTCATGGTGCTGAATACGTTTAGACAGATATTAGATTATATGCTGTGATCTATTACGTGTTGCTCTACAAATCCACAGGATAAAATGTCCCAGGAGACTTGATCTGTTGACGCCAAATATCGGATTCTATTGGTTCATGTTTTTACGACTATCATAAATTGTACAGTCGTAAATTTAATTTAACTGTAATGGAAATCTAACGGCATCAGTAACATTTATATGTTACAGACAGTTCTGTTTTTAATATAGTTCAAATGATTATGAAGTTAAAGTTTGGAAACACTTGGTAGCCCATGTCTATCACTGAATTACATTTAAAATCATTATTACCAGGAAGGAAATGGGGTAATTGATTTACATTCGATACAGTTGTGATATTAAAGTTACATGAAATGCTTGCCAGATGACAGACTTATCCTATTATGTTATCTTGAAATAAGTAACGTGAATTTTGTCTTTAAGAGTTCATGGTCCGCTCTGTAGAGCATCAGGGTTACCGGGATTTGACTGTAGCAAGTCCTGTGAGCTTTCATTGCTAGTCCATCACAATTATATCTGTAGATCACTATAAAAAGACGTATATCTTTCTTTTTTGAGACAGGATGGGGTAATTAAAACAAGAAGCCCATAGGCCACAACACCAACCTGAGTTACTTGTAATACATGTACGTGTAAATACCTTGAAATACCAGTTGCGGCCCCGCCCTATCCCCCGGGGTCATGATTTGAACAATTTAGAATCTACACTACCTCAGGATGCTTCAACATAAGTTTCAGATTTTCTGGCCGAGTGGTTCTTGAGAAGAAGATTTTTAAAGATTTTTTCTTAAATATTTCAATGTAATTTGATTGCCTCTTGTGGCCCCGCCCTTCTCCCGGGATCATGATTTTAACAATTTAGAATCTACATTACCCCGGGATGCTCCCACATAAGTTTCAGTTTTTCTGTCCCAATGTTTTTATGAATAAATGTTTAATGAACCCACACTAATTTTGTTTTTTCTTATTTACCCTTGTACGGGTTTTGTACAACATTTTAACTTTCCTTCACCCAGGGATGCTTTGTACCAACTTAGGTTAAAATTGGCCCAGTGATTCTTGAGAAGTTTAAATTTGTGACAGGTTTGTAAACAGGCGGACGACTGACAACGAGTGATCAGAAAAGGTCATTTGAGCTTTCAGCTCAGGTGAGCTAAAGATTTGCTGTTTTTTCACATTTTATTTGGAAAGTTAATTCTAAAATTATTATAAAAGAGCAGACACACCTTCTCCTTAACATTAAAGACCTATTGCTACATTGTATTTCTTTTTGTCCGTTGTCGTCCGACGTGCGACGTGTATTAATATTTGAACATTTTCATTTTTTTTCTCTCGAGAACTGCTGTACTAATTTCAGCCAAATTTGGCAAATTGTGAAATTCTTGGACTATGCATCAGGGGTTCTTGACTTTTGGTGCTCTTTTGATCATATAGTGAAATACATACTTGTAATTAAAAAAATTCTTCTATGTCTTTTAGCATTTAGCAAAAAAGATGTATATAATAATGTTGAGCCAGCTAAATTGTGAAATTCATAGTCTCAGGAATTCTGATGTATAAGAACGGGGCTTTAACGATTGTTGAATAAAAGTTATTGAAAATTAATTACTTTTTAGCTCACCTGAGCCGAAGGCTCAAGTGAACTTTTCTGATCAAAATTTGTCCGTTGTCTGTCGTCGTCGTCGTTGGCGTTGTCGATGTCGTCGTCGTTGTCGTAAATTTTTCACATTTTCATCTTCTTCTCAAGAACCACTGGACCGATTTCAACCAAACTTGCTATAAAGTATTCTTGGGCAAAGGGGATTCGAGTTTGTTCAAATGAAGGGCCACGCCCTCTTCCAAGGGGAGATAATTATGAATTAATGAAAAATTAATGGCATTTCAAAAAAAATTCAAGTTTGTTCAAATCATGACCCCCGGGGATAGGATGGGGCCACATTATGGCCGATCAAAGTTTTACATAGGAATATATAGGAAAAATCTTTAAAACTCTTCTTCTTAAGAACCATTGGGACAGGAAAGATGAAACTCATGTTGAATCATCCTCAGGTAGTGTACATTCAAGTTTGTTCAAATCATGGGGTTGGGTGGGGCCACATGGCTGATCAAAGTTTTACATAGGAATATATAGGAAAAATCTTTAAAACTTTTCTTCTCAATAACCATTGGGTCAGGAAAGGTGAAACTCATGTTGAATCATCCTCAGGTAGTGTACATTCAAGTTTGTTCAAATCATGGCCCCCGGGGGTAGGGTGGGGACACAATGGCCGATCAAAGTTTTACATAGGAATATATTAGGAAATCTTTAAAATTTTCTTCACAAGTACTGCAAAGCCATGATTAGTGATATTTTTATGGAAGCATCCTCCGATACTGTAGATTCTAGTTTGTTCAAATCATAACCCCCAGGGATAGGGTGGGGCCACAATGGGGGATCCAAGTTTTACATTAAAATATATTTAAAAAAATCTTTTTCTAAAGAATAGCGAAGTCATGATTAGTGGTATTTATATGGAAGCATCCTCAGGTAGTGTGGAATTAAATTTGTTCAAATCGTAACCTCCAAGGGTAGGGAAGCCAGTGTCTCAATGGTGGATCAAAGTTTTACATAGGAAAATAAAGGGAAAAATCTCAATAACAGAAAAGCTATGTTAAGTCATAAGGACATGTAAGAATCCTCATGTATTGAAGATTTAAAAGTACCCTTGGGGGGGGGGAATGATGGGGAGTCAAATTCAAATTCAAATTATTACAAAGTAATATATACAAACAAAATGTTTAAAAAAAACTTATAAAAATCTTTTTCTCAAGAACCTTCTCAAGAAGTTATATGCAGAATTGATATGGAGGCATTCTCAAGTAGTATTAGAACTCAAGCCACCTCCCCCCACCCACCCCTTAGTAAACTTTTCAATTCTGATCTGAAAATGTGCTCAATGTGGCCCCCGGGCCTCTTGTTTGAAAATCTTCTTACCTGCGCCTGGATATTAACAAATCAAAGTAACAATCTAATTAGTGCATAATCATGACGAGCAAGGGTGCCATGGAAGAGGGACTACAAAGGTTCCGTAGGTTTCGTTTTCAATATACTATAGTATAAGAATGGTTAAATTGAGCAGTATTATTTATGCAGTGACGTAGCATCGTTTTTGAAGGGTGGCAACCAGAGAAAACAAATTTAATTACCTTAGAAAATTTACAAGCAAAAAATAAATAAATAAATAAAATCGAAAATCCTATTTCGTGGAGGGGGGGGGGGGGGGGGTAGAGGCCAACTTTTTTCAACACAAACTTCTTTCAGTATCAATTTTTTTCTTCATACAATCACTACATTACCCTTATATCACTTTACTTTAGCCAAAAGAAGGGGGAGGGGGCAACCAGCCTATCAATGAACATTTTAAGAGTAAAAGTTATGTTTGAAAAAGAAGGTGGGGGGGGGCTGCCCCCCCCCCCCCCCCGAGCAACGTGCCCATAATGAGAAAAAATATTGCAGAGACTCAGAACGTCCTCAAAAATAAAATACGTGAT